TCTTGGGTCAAACAGGAAATCATTACTGAAAACAGACTATTTAAAAATTAACAATGAGCCCAGCCAGTGTGGCTCGGTGGTTGAGCATCGACCCATGTACCAGGAGGTTGCCGGTTTGATTCCTGCTGAGGGCACATGCCCAGGTTGTGGGCCTGATCCCCAGTGGGGGGCATGCAGGAGGCAGCCAGTCAAGGTTCTCTCTCATTGATGTTTCTATCTCTCTCTCCCTCTCCCTTCCTCTCTCTCTAAAATCAATAAAGAAAAAAATATTAATAATGAGAATACAATGCATTGAAATATATAAAAGTATAAAAATATACTTAGATAAAAAGTTAAGGCTTTTATTTAAAAGGACTGGAAATAAAGTAAGTTTGTAAGTTAAGAAGCTATTAAATGGAAAACAAAACAAGACAAAGTAGGCAGAGAAAAATAATAATGGTAAGTTAATTACCTTTATTAGAAAAATTACAAATTCTTTTCTAACAAATTAGAAAAAATAGATTGATAGGAGGAGAAAGTGCAGGGTTTATGAGAAAGCTGCTGGAATGAGGTTGGAAAGCTGAGTTAATGGGAGGAAAAAAACTATCCTTGCCCTTAATTGCCACTTAGGTTTGGCTGAGGTGAAAAGCATGTGCAGAAAATAATTAGAGAACAGGACTACATTCAATAAAGTCCTGTTTATGAGTTATAGATGGTAAACCTATCGACCCCAAACAGCAGCATTAGGCTCTGCGTCTCTGGTGTCAGGCTAAGCCAAGCTTGTATGTTGGCTTCAACCTTATCAAGGGGCCCTGGATGGATTATTTAGCCTCTCTAACTTGGTTACCTTTTCAGTAAAATGTGGTCGCAGTACCTAATTCACAGGATTACAGTGAGTATGTAAAGCATTTAGCTCTGTGCTTGGCATGTGGTAAGGGCTTGGCCAATGGTTTCCTTAGAAAGTCAGTGCGGCATCTCCTTCCAGTCTCTCCTGGACGTTGCTGAGATGATCAGGGTGCTATTAGTAACTTAGTACATTTTACACAGGAGTGAGTAGCAGCCTTAGAGTCTTAGAGTAACAGCCAAGGTCTGCCGACCTGGATGAAAAGATTGGGCATTTTGTCTGTGACTGTGAGATACACCCATGGTGAGTGGTTGAGCAAGACTCTGTCTGTTCCAAGAAAACTTCTCTAAAACATGATGCTCCCAAGGCAGTGGTGGTTCATGAGCTGGAGAGAAGCTCCTGGCCACAGAGAAAAGATCGGCCAGTTCTGCCATCCTGCAGCCAGTTTGCTTCCCTGAGTAGGAAAGGTGGATCCAGGAGTCCTTCCTGGTCTGTAGTCTCTTTTACTCGCCATTAGCAGGAGAGAAACACCATCCGGCAACCCTTCAGTCAGCGTCAGTCTCCTCAGGCCTGACGACGGGTCTGAGAGACCTCGGAAAGGAAAACATAAAAGGAGACAGATAGGAAGCAGAAAACTTGAAAAGAATTTAGCGCACCCCCTCTTTTAGCTATAATTAGCACTTGAGAATTTGTGGTTTGAGGTAAAGGTAGAATAGGTCTGGGAGTAGGTAAGAATCATGGACTATTTTAATGTCTGTAGATGCTACACATCAAACTGTTTTGTTTTGTTTTTTATCTTCACCCGAGGACATTTTTGCATTCATCTTCAGATAGAGTGAGAGGGAGAGAGGGAGGAAGAAAGAGAGAAAAACATCCATGTGAGGGAGACACATCAACTGACTGCCGCTCACATGACCCCAACCAGGGCTCAGGACAAACCACAACCAAGGTACATGCCCTTAGCAGGAACCAAACCCGGGTCTCTCTGGACCACAGGTCAATGCTTTGACTGCTGAGCTAAAACCAGCCAGGGCACATCAAACCATTTTAATCAAAATATGTATTCAGCAGGGAGGGGGGGCAGAGAGGGGAATCAGTGAAAGTAGATAATTAATGTCTCTGGTCCAAACAAGAACTACTTAACAGTTCTACTTTCTGCATTCCCAAGAAAGCATCAACTGCAAGGTGCACTATCACAGATAAGGAGTGGGGAAAAAGACATGATTTTAAACTTTGATTCCAGGAATGTTAAAATATAAAGGAAAAAAACACTACCAACCAAAGCATGCATCTTGGAATTTCACTCAGTTGGTATTTTGGTGTGTTCTCACTGATAGAGGCTAGCACTAATTTTATGAAAGCTATAAAACTTTTTTTACTAATGTGTGTGGCAGAACTAATGGAAATGAAAATTTAATGAAGATTAAAATAAAATCTCAGGCCCACAGATTTATTTTCTTTCATCCTCTTGTGAAGACAGAAAAAAACGGGGACAGCTGGGGAGGTGCGGCTCCTGGTGAGCCTGGAGCACCCAGTGCCAGACCTGAGGACGTGCCCACAAACAAAAAGCAAAAACAGAACTGATAAAAGTAGGTCAGAGGAGCACAGGAACCAACTGAGAGAGCTCCCAACGGCCAAAGGTAGAACAATTTGAGCAACAAAATAAATAAAGTAGTGTTGAATTGTAACCCAAAAGGTAAAATACATATCCATGACGCCATACTGATGTAAACAAAAGATTAAACAGATTAGTAAGTAGGTAAAAGACATAAGTCTTCCATGCAGATGAATTCCAAGTAATTTACATAGATACTCCACCCTCAAGGTTTTCCTTCCGAAGTGTATAGTATGGGAGGGGGTGGCAGGTTCGCAGTGGAGAAGGCGGACACACACTACCTCGGGCGGTCAAGGCCAACGTCAACAGTATTACATTGTGTTGGCGATGTATGTGCCTGCTCCGTGTACCTCTGTGGTCTTCCGCCAAATAACCCATAACTCCAGTCTTATCATAAGAAAAACAACGGAAGACAAATACCAGTTGTGGAACATTCTACAAAATGCCTGACCAGTACTCAAAACTGTCAAGAAGATCAAAAAAAGGAAAATCTAAGAAATTGTCACGATCTGAAGGAAACTAAGGCGACTCGATGACTAAATGTAATGTGATGTCCTGGATGGGATCCTGGGACAGGAAAAAAACATTAGGGAAAACCTCCAAAAAATCTAAATAAATGGGCTTTCGTTCGTAATGATCATATTCTAAAGGTAAGATAGCAATAGTGGAGAGACTGTGTGCATAAAAGGTGGGAACTCTATATTATCTTCTTGATTTTTCTATAAATTTACAACTGTTCTAAAAAAATAAAGCCTATTAAAATTTTTTAAATGCCTAAACAGAAAAATAAAACAAAACCCTCATGGACAGGACGCCAGGTTAGGGATTTCAAAGGAAAGTTACAAAGCGTTTTGTGACCTTTAAACATTCTACACAAAGCATGGCCCAAGAAGAACATATGTAACTGCTTAGTTGAAAAGTGCAACTGGCAGCTTAACCCAGTATGTGACACTTCTAAATACATTCAAATGGAACCATTGTTACATATTGTCTATGTAGTATTTTGTTTTTTAAAGATGGCAAAGTTTTACCGTAACTCCGGCCTTGGTTATATCCATCTTGACTCAACCGGCTCATCTAACTGCACGGTTCGATCAGAAAACCAGCCATCAGCTGTCAGCCTGGTAAAGCACTTAGACATATTTTCGAAGCCAGAAATGCAATCATGTGGCGAGACTTCGGGGGTTTACTGTTGTCCAAAGTGCTGACTCTCGGGACTCATTTTCTTCTTCTGTGTTCTCACATGGAAAACTTCATTGGGGAATTATAGGGTGATATCTTCAAGGCTTGGAACAGTGGGCTTGTCTACAGTTACCTTTCTAAAAAAACAAACAAGAAATCCCTTTAAGAGCGTTTAGAAAAAAAGTATGCCAGGGTAGGCAAATAGAAACAACTTTGGGGTTTCTGCACAGAGTGAGGTTGTACAAATTGCAGATATTCCCCTGTTCCAGGGCATCGTTTTACTCCCACACACCACTTCCTACATCCACCCATTCCAGCATGTTTGGACCTCCAGAGAGCTGGAGGAATTTTACCAGGAAGGAGGAGGGCACTGACCACAGGAACCAGAAAAGTAGAAATGGCACCCCTGGGCTTCGTGCTCGGTCCTGCCTCAGCTCTCCTCCAGTCTCCCCCTTGTTGGGGACACTGAGGGGCACATCCAGACTCTCCCCCCTGGTTGCTCTTGCCAGGCCAGTATCAGGGCCCCCCATGGCCAGGGCTCATATGCCACCAGGAACCCACCACCATCCCACAGGAAGGAGATGTTGATGTCACCCTTTGAGGGGAAACCAAAAGGCTGGCAGAGTTTGGAGACAGCAGAAGGGAATGTCTGCCAGTTATTTAGCCCTGGGAGGCAGAGAGTATCATGACTTTGTTTGCTGAACCAAGAATTAGGGCGCACCGTCTGACAGCAGGACTGAACAGGCGGGATATGAACTTGAGACGGTGCCAGGAACTTCAGGGTGTCACTGCAGGATCCAGAAACGTGAGCTGAGCCCTGGGTGTTCTCCTTTGTGGTGTCACCCTCCACAGAGCAGCCTGCAGACATCCTGGGCACAGTGCCATGGCTGCCACTCTTCAGCATCCCGGGGACAGCAGCACAGGGCCTGACCTCATGACAGGAGAGCACCCAGCTCAGTGGAGGGCGTCCGCCCCTTCTAGCTGCCTCTCCAACCCCAAGGAGGGGGATCCTGGAGCTCAAGAGTCTCTGCCCCTGCCCCACCCTCACCCACCCCGCTCCCTCCTTCGGAGTCAGAAGTGCCAGGAGTCCAGACATTGCTCTCCCCTGACTTACTCCCAGGCTTAGCAACCCACCCATGCCCTAGAGATGCCTAAAATCACCTTTCAGGGAGACAACCCTTCTTCAGACACGGATTCCCCAGGGCAGAGCAAGCAGAGAGGATATTATCACATGGCTCCGACGCGGCGAGAGGCCAGTCACAGAAGGTGCAGTGAGGAAGTGCCATGTCACATGCAGCACAGGAACTGGCTAGGGGACAGCAGGGAACTTGAGAAGTCGGTCGTTTTCAGCCGATTAAAACAACACAGGTTAGTGCCACCCCACCCCTGAGTAATCTTTCTTAGCCACTCTAAATGACCTAACTGGTTCTCTTTCCTGAACTGCCTTCATTTTTGTGATGTGAGACAAATGCCTGGGCTTTGACTGTAAGAGCCAGGGCATAGCGGACGATCACACGTTGTTAGAGGAGCACACGTCCAGCCATTACTGTGAAAACGAAATCAGAACCTCTTGCTTCCCTGATCAAAACTTCTATGCCTTTAAAACGAGCCTTCAAATGTGCATCAAATAACTTATTTCTCGGCGTCCAGCTAAACCTCCCCTCCTATTCGCCTGTTAGCTTCCATCTGAAACGGGACAAACCCCTCGTGTTTGCAGGCGGACACGGGCTGTTCAGAGGGCGGCAGAAAATACAGGAATATCGTGGTAAAAAACACGCTGCGAGGCTGTCCGCAAAGGTTTGTTGCCTTGGCGTACTTGTCATCTGCTGAAACAAATCGTTTGGCTTTGTTAAAATGTGTTCAAATCATTTCTCATGTCTTCATAAATTCTTAAGTTCCCTTTTCTATTTTTTTCGGCCCTCTTTCTTCCCTTTTTCCTTTCCGTCTTTTACTACCATAGACTGGAGCGGAGAAGCGGCAGGGCAGCTCCTCCGAGATGAGGAAGTGCCTGGAGAGTACAAAGGCACACGGCCTGGGGCTGGGGCTGAGGGGCCAGCAGCAGCCAGGTCTGGCTGTCACCAGAGCTGTGTCTTCAGCCCGTGCTTCCCATATAAAGGAAGATCTGAAGAGCCTAGAGATGAACAGACCTAGTTAAAGGCTTAGAAATTAGAGCCCAGAAACTGCTTCAGGACCTGAGATTATTCATCCTGTGACCACGAGGGACAGTTTAATAAATAACTTCCAGGCAATAAAGGTCCCTACACAGAGACCTGCTGCTTTCAGATCTATATGAAGAAGGGAAATGTCTCAAGTTTGAGTTAGAAACAATGACTTCATTCTCGGGCTGTGGTGAAGGGCTAGAACAGGTTAGTCAGAAGGGCTGCTGAGCTTTTCTCCGGGCATTTTGGAAAACACGGGAGATTTCTGAAGCTCCCTGTGAACGTGCTGGTAGAGCGGGGGAGGAATGAAGAGACCAGCCCTGGGAGCTCCTCGTTTCATCTCTGCCTTCCGGAGTGTTTCACGGTGCCTGGACTGAGAAACGACAGAGGGGTGAGGGGTGAGTGGACTCACATGTTGTTTATACCCCAGTCGTGCAAAATAACCAGGACAGTGATGAAAGAGAAAAATCATTGTTTATCCTCAGATTGCCACATTTTTTATTTTTTACTACTGTGTTGTGTAAGACAGTGGAGAGGAAATGGACGGAATAAGGGGGCATTCTAAGTTGGGGATCTCAGCTCCAGTGGTTTCGGAAACCCTGCCCTGGCTCTGACAGAGGTAGCCCATGTTCCCACGGGCGTAGTGGGTGGAGGGGAGATTGGAATTCTTTGCCATTTGGAGCCCTCTTTGCAAATAAATGCCGGAGGAAGCAGGCAGGGCAACCACAGTGGGCAGGTCCCTTGCACATGGCACCAGGAGCGCCCCCAGCCCCAGAGAGACTTACAGCGCAGCGGTGGCTGGCCATCCCTAGAAGGGGCTCCTCTTTTGATTCTGTTTTGCTTTTTTTCACTGGTCATAGAGCCTTGTTGTTCAGGAACTTTCGTGTTTTGCTAATCTGCTGCTTATAGTAGAAAAGGGTTTCTTTTTTGTTAAAATACTTTCCAGATGGACCTGACGTTTTTGGTAGATGCATCCTTTCGAAAGCTGTTCACATTTCTTCTAGGGCATCTGTTCTCTCCAGGTCATTTCTCACCCCTCTTTCTAGCTTCCCACCTGTGCTGTGCTCCTTTGTGTCTGAGATGCAAGAAAAGGGTTTATAGAGGGTCATTATTATATAACAGCTCTGATTCCCAAACCTGGAAGTGATTCTGAAAAAAGAAAAAGGAAGACAGAGAATGGCAGAAGGCAGTAGATCATGTTGGACGGTGGGGAGCAACTGGAATATTAATCTTGCGTGTAAATTTTAGACAGAAATTACTTCCAAGTCGAACTCTGAGTTCAGTTTGGAAGTCAAAGTAGAAGGAGATCAATGGTCACCTTTTAGCTGGAGAAAAAATAGTGAACTTTATGGGACATGTTGCGGAATTCTCTAAATCAGAGGAAGGAAGGGTGCTGACTTCACAAACCTCTCTTCTCCTGGACACCTGACATACAGGCAAGTCTCTGCTCCCCAGCACCCTAGCGACAGCGTCCATCATTGTTTAGGTGGCCCGGTGTCAGAGGGCTGAAATGGTGAGATATACAAAGCATTCATGCTGGCAGGGAAAAAGAAAACGAAACTCTGATGAGTATAACCTTTACCATCAAATTTGTCCTGGGTCATCTTTTTGAGTTGACATCAGGTAGTCTGGAGGCCCAGCCCTCGGGGCTTCTCAGACAGGAGTTCCTGCGCATGCGTAAGGTGTTACTGTTGTCATCACCATCGTACTGGGAAATACTGGGAGTCCTGGTCTGTTTTTTTAAATTGTGATAAAATACACATAACATAAAATTTACCATCTTAACCATTAAGTGTGTAGTTCAGTAGTGTTAAATAGATTCACACTGTTTCCAGGACTTTTTCATCTTGCAAAATGGAAACCAATCTCCAGGACTTTTTCATCTTGCAAAATGGAAACTCTATAGCCATTCAAGAAGTCTCCCTTCCCCTTCCTCCAGCCCCTGGCAGCATGTTGTACTTTCTGTTTATGAGCTTGACTGTTCTAAGGACCTCATATGAGTGGCATCATAAAGGGTAAGCAAAAGGAGGTTTATGGTTGTGATTACACAAAGCACAGGGCTTATTATTGTTTTATTTATTAATTGTTGTATTATTTTCCATATCAACAACCTACTTTTTGCCCACCCCTGTATAGTATTTGTCCTCTTGTAACTGCTTTGTTTCACTTAACATAATGCCCTCAGGGTTTAACCACATTGTAGCATGTGTCAGAATGTCCTTTCTTTTTAAGGCTGAATAATATTCCATTATATGTCTAGACCACATTTTCTTTATCCATTTATCTGTGGATGACATTTGAGTTACATCTGCCTTTGGATATTGTAAATAAGACTGCTACAAATATTTCTTTGAGACCCTGCTTTATTCTTTGGGGTATATACCCAGAAGTGGAATTTCTGGATCATATGGGAATTCTATTTTTAATTTTTTGAGGAACTGCCGCACTGTCTTCCATAGCGGCTGCGCTATTTTACATTCCCACCAACAGTGCCTAACGATTCCCATGTCTCCACATCCGAGCCAATATTTACTATTTTGTTGTTGTTTTATAGCAGCAGTCCTAATGGGTGGAAGATGACACTATCTCATTTTTATTTGCATTTCCCTAATAATTAGTGATGTTGAGCATCTTTTTATATGTTTGTTGGCCATTTGTGTATCTTTTTTGGAGAAATGTCTGTTCAAGACTCTTGCCATTAAAAAAAATTTTTTTACTGATTTTAGAGAGAGAGGAAGGGAGAAGGAGAGATAGAAACATCAATGAGAGACAACCATCAATTGGCTGACTCCTGCATGCCCCCACTGTGGATTTGGCCCACCACTGGGCATGTGCCATGACCAGGAATCAAACTGGTGACCTCTTGGTGCATGAGTCAACACTCAGCCACTGAGCCACACTGGCCAGGTTCCCTTGATGAGGTTATTTTGTTGTTGTTGTTGAGTTGTAGGAGTTTTATTCTAGATATTAGGGAGCAGTAGATTTTTTGTAAAAGTAGTGTATGTTCAGGTTCTAATGTCCACATCACCTGCTGTGAGCCATTGCCTTCTGTGGTTTATAGCCCTGGCAAAGAGCATGAGTTTCAATAATAGGATTTTTTCCAGCAATATATTTGTATCTTGATTATGAAATGCTACACAAAATCTCATCATTTTCAGCTTATAAACAGTTCAGTTTTCAACAGCTTACTAAGGGGAAAGGAAGGAAAATAAAGGGAAGGGAAGAGATAGCTTGGGGTAATGTGTTTATTCCTTCTATGATTTATACTTTTTTGGCTACATAAACTTCAGGAAAAAGCTTTACCCTGGATTCTGTTGACTAAAACCAGACTCCGTACAGGAATAAACATACTTTCTGAGAATCATCCAGTAATTATGTCTTCTTATACCACCCTCCCTCCAAACCCACAGACTTCAGGTAACTCGGATCATAAGATCATTATCATTTTCCTGTGTGAATGCCTCAAACAAAATGTTATATTTTGCTTCTGAGTAGTAAAAGGAAGAGGACTTGGGCTTTGTCCCAGGAAAAGGAACAAGAATAGTGTGAGTCCCTGGAGGTGCAGGCACAGTATTTGTTTAGATTATAGGTTTTCTGGAAGGAAATGGTGGAGAAGACCAGATGGGGTTTGACATGCAGTGTGGTTCTTCTTTGGGTGGAGGTGCTGTCTTCTAAAGAAAATATTACTAATGTTCACTTGCACTTATTGATGCTCTGTTGCACTTCCAGTGAAGGGGTTGCCTTATGCCTGACTGGTTTTTCACTCTGCCATTTCACTTGCCCTCCATTTCTTCAGAAATTTGTTGTTTCCAAAAATAGTTGTTTCCAAAAAAAAGCCTCTTAGTGTCTCCCCCTACAAAAAAGGGGGGCATCAGAAAATGATAAGAACCATTGTCTTTGCTTGTTTGTTTGTTTTGAAAGAATAGAGACAAGCTTTTCCTTGAAAAGAGTAAACTGGGAAAAGAATAGTCTCTAAAGTGGAACCCTGTTATAGTGTAACAAACCAAACCTAAGAGGCGCCTAGCCCTAGCTTGTGAGACATCCTGAGGTGGTTCCACCAGGAGGCTTCTTGTACCACTAATGTCATAATTTCTCAGTACTAATGAGACGTTACTGCTTTGAGACTGTCTCTCTAGCTACCTGCCGGGGCGTCTGTTTTGATGCTTTCTGATGAATTAGGCTTTCTTTCTACTTTTGTTTGTGTCTAGATCTTAATAATATGTCATATTTTAAGTTCACTCATTGTATTGACTTATAATTCTGTGTGGTTTAAAAACAGTCTTTTTTTATAGTAGGATACATGTTTGCACACACACATGGGTGCACACACACACATGGGTGCACACACACACATCTTTTACTAGGGGAACATTCTTTAGGGCATATGTCTCTTAATTAAAGGTCATCAGATAATATCTTGGAATCTGCCATTATTTGGAATATGCTGCTAACTTCAGACTGGGAGGTTATGTATATATTATACCCATAGATCCATTTGGAGGGTTTGTCTGTGAATTGCTATTCTTTCAGTAAATCACTGACTAAGTAAATGGTGATTTGGGGCATCTTCTTTGATTCCCAGGACAGCTATGGACGGATTTGGTCTCCCTTAAAGTCTTTAGAGACCTGTAGAATGATCCTGACCCCTGAACGCTGGGTGTGGGACCAACAGAGGGCTGTGCAGTTGCTCAGCAGCTTGCTTTGCAGAAGGCTTCGGGGACGGAGCTGCACAGGGAGTTGGTGTCCAAGTCCTTCTTCTCACTGGGGGGCCACTTCTCAGGAAAGTCCCAGTTCCAGAAGTCAGTTAACTAACTGAGAATTCCTGATGAACTGCCACCAGGGCTTCGCCTAAAACCTCTTTCCAAGCAAGCAACATGTGCCTCACTTTTCCTTTCTTTTCCCTCTATATTTTCTCTTCTTTCGGCTGTAAAGTCTCACTCCTGACATTTCGTGCCAGTCACCTCGTGAAAATCTGGACCAGCATTCACCGCACGGACAGCGTGCATCCTCAGCCAGCCGTGTCTCCAAGCCTTTTGTTCCTCTTCTCTTGAGCAGCAAACAACCTGCCTTGCAAAACAGGGACAGATCGAGGCCTGGGAGCATAATTACTGGTATAAAAATGTTTGAGAGGTTTTATGTAGGAAAAATAATTGAGGGTAAGAATTTTGTTGTAAGATAGATCCTGATGAATCAGGAAGGGTGGATAGTTTACTTTTTAAAATGTCTTTTAAGGATTCATAAGGAGGAGCAGGAGGGAAAGAGAATTGAAAAGGCCAGAGGATAATTTTCTCTAAAAGACAAAAATGTTAGGTTATTCAAAAACTATTTTTTCTCCTCTTTTGGTGCCAGGAACATCTGGCTTTGGGAAGAGTTTAGGAGAGAGTCTCTCAGATGCTGT